CAAGTTGTGGCTGCACCTTTCCATGAGGCTTATGAGACAGGTGGAAAAGATTCCACCTTGGGGTTACTTCTCTCCTTGAATGACTGTCATGGCTGTGTAGAGCCAAGGAGCAGTCTTCGTTAAAATAAGGGATTCATTCTGCTTTTAGTTACCTTGTGGGCCTAATTAAGAAGGCAGTGGTTTTCAGCTAATTTGACAATGAATGAATTAATGAATGAATGGACCTTCACCACACTTATTGATGGGGATACGTCCTGAGAAATATATTGTTAGGTGATTTTGTTGTTTTGTGAATGGCATAGAATATACTAAGATGGCTACAATTTCATAAGGCAGTGTAATCTTAGGGGACCACTATTGTATTAATGTATGTAGTCTGCCTTGGCTGAAGTGGCTTATGCAGCATATGCCTGTTGAACAAAGGTTTGAACAATACAATAAGGTACAAAGAAACAATTAAAATTTTTATTTTCAGGTGACATGTTGTATAGAGCAAATCTCATGGAATCTTTGAATAGTAACAATTGTAATTTTTCAACTACAAGGTAAAAATATAAAAGTATTATTTCTCCTTGTGCTTGTAATTCTCATACTTCTCAGGAGGACCAGGTCAGCTCTATATAGTGAGACCCTGTCTCTGAAGCAAAAGAAAGCAAAACAAAACAAATCTATAATTTGATAGCTAGTTAGGAACTAGAATTAACAAAAATGTAATCTCAAAATATACCTAAGTGTAAATCTAATGGAATGTATGCAGGGTTTCTGAAGAGTAGAGTTGAAGAAAAAAATGAAAAGAGAGTTAAATAAGAAAGCAGAGTCGTGTGGTGTTGGGGGATGTGAGATGCCATGTAGTAGTGACATTATTCTACACTTAAGTGATGTGTACATTCAGAGTATTACCAGCCAAAACCTGTTGTGAATAGAGACAGGCTCAGTTTATGCATGAGGGAAACAAACTACATAGTTTGAAAAGGTTAAACAAAATTGCAAGAATTACACTACCTCATTTTAAAAATCTGTCAGTCAGGGCAGTATCAGCCAAAAGAGTGGTCGCATAAATCATTGGAACATGATGGCAACATCAGAAAATACAAGGACATTACTTTGACAGATGTGCCAAATCAGTTCAAAGGAGAAAGGCTTCAACCTCTCATGCACCAGCCACTTCCAACATACAGATACACATGTAACTAAAAAGTGGAGATAATAAAACTAAAGCAGGAGCTGCTAGAAGCTGACTCCAAGCTCAGGGAGAGAGACTGCAGCAGAGACATGAACCCTCTACATGCATGTGATGTCCTCTCTTTCTGTAGTATTGCAGTGCTTACTCTGTGCAGACAATGGTGACGAAAAATTGTACTTCATTATTTTTTTCTTCTTTTTCTTGCCTTTTTCCTGGACCTAACTTACAGTAGTAAGACCCAGGAACATTGCTGGTGTAATTCTGAGACATAGTCATTATTCAACATCTTCGAGGGCTCATTTATTTGTTGATGACTCCCATGCTGTAAATATGTTTGCCCAACAGACATTTATATTCAGTTGTCTGCTAAAGACATGTCTTCTCAAAGATGGACTAGGCACATCAAAGTTATTGAGTTCTAAAATTATCTGTTAATTTTTTATTTTCCTACTAAATCCAGCCTTCATTTTTGGTGTGGATGTGGTGGGGTGTCAGTCATTGTTTCTCTTACCTTTTTTTTTTTTTTCCTAGTTTCATCAAGATGGTTCTGCATGTTCTTTTTTTGACATAGGGTTTCTCTGTGTAGCCCTGGCTGTCCCAGAACTTGTTCTGTAGAGGGGAGATCCACCTGCCTCTGCCCAAGGGAATCGATTAAAGGCATGTGCCACCACCACCCAGCTGGTTCTTCACTTTTTGTGTGTTAGCCAGTAGGCATCAGTTTTTAAGTATCTACTTTTTAAGCCCAAATTGCAGTCTCACATTGAACTTTACTTCTCATGTAACTTTGATGCTATGTTTCTATTCCACAATGTATATCAGAACTGCTTTATTGTCACCAGCACTGGCAGGCTAATGTATGTCCTATGTATTCTACAGTGGCCACATTGTTTTCTCAGCCCCCACTGATACCTGTTTTCTGTATTGGAGCTACAATAACATTTCTTTGTTTCAAATCACAACTTCTCAGATCTTGATAATTCTTTATTCTTTTTTTGCCTGTGTTCACCCTGTTGTAGAATAGTTCTTCATATGTATTGGCATTTTATTGGCAATATGCCTTGTGGTTATATGCAAGGCCATGGTTTACATGATTTGAGCTTCCCTACTGCAACTAAGAAGAAAACTTTTATTTAATATCAAGTTTTACTATTAAATAAATCTAGTAAGAACAGTATGTTTGTAGTACAGAAATGTCAAAAAGAACAAGAGCATAAGCACGTACGGTCTCATAGAATGGTTTATTTATTCCCTCCCAGATATAAGTGTACTTTTAAATATATAGACATCTGTGCATATTTAATTCACTCCTATACTTCCTCCCAGACTTCTCTCACTTCACAGAGCATCTTAATATAAAACAAGACAGATTCTAGAAATAGTGTATGTAATGATTTGTTGCTAAGCATTAAATGTTGATACTTCCTCCTCCCCTAATAATATGACTATTCCTTATTTATAGTCTTGTAGTCTTTAGTAAATCCAAAAGGTTATATCATGATTTTTCTATCACCTTTTCATTATAGCAGGCTCAGACCATTGTCTCTAAGGCTATTTAAAAGAAAAAAAAACTTTTTCATTATGAAACAAAATATATAAGAAAAGCCCAGATAAAGTTTAGGTATAAACTTTTTTCACATTTATTTACTGAATGTGTGTCTGTCTGAGTGATTGTGCATGTGTGTATACCATAGTACATGTGATTAGGTCAGAGGACTGCTAGTGGAAGTTGGTTTTCTGCTTCCACAGTGTGGGTCCTGGGGATTGACTCAGGTCTTATGTCTTGGGGTAAACACCATCACTGCTGACCCTTCTCACTTTTGTGACATGTACAACATTGTTAGTACTAAAAGCTAGATATTTTAGCAGTTGTTGGTAGTACTGCTTTTGTTGATTAGGTATACCTCATTGGGCCCTGCTGTGGACTTAGAATACTATGTTTTATGGCTTAGATTTATTCTCTGACCTTAATTGTCATTTTTGGTTTGGGATACCAGTACCATCTAGTTTGACACATACTTAGACTTAACACAGTTAGATGTTTTTATAGAGAATTATATATGATTTTTAGAACTTAGTTAAAATAAATTAGATCACCCCTTTCCTGTCCTTCTTACCAGGAGTTATGCTCACCTAATTCATGGCTTCCTCTAATTTAATCCTTGTTACCTATACCTATACCTATACCTATACCTATACCTATACCTATACCTATACCTATACTATACCTATACCTATACCTATACCTCAATCAACATAGAAATGTATCCTGCTGAGTCTATTCAATATTGCCTGCATATATATTTTTCTAGGGCTGACCACTCAGTACTGGGTAATTAATGAGGTGTTAATTGATTTGACTTCTTCATCTATGGGTGGGACCCTGTGAGACTGCCTCCATCTACTTCGGAATTGTTAAGTTCTTGTTCAGGCAGCCATGTTGTTGAGATTTCATAAGTGTAAAGCTTTGAAGGCACAGTCTCACAGCAGACTTCCTGGTCCTCTGGCTCTTAGAATCATTCTGCTCTCTCTTCTGTGATATTCCCTAGGCCTTAGTTGTAAAAGTTGTATTGTAGTGTATCACTTTAGGTTGGTGCCCACAATCAGTTGTTTTCTGCATTTTTGACTAATTGTGGTTTCTATAATGGTCTTCTGCTGCAAAAAGAAGCTTCTTTGATGAGAGGTGAACTATACTTACTTGTGGGTGTAAGATTAACTATTTAGGCCAGTTGGTGGTGGTGCATGCCTTTAATCCAAGCCTTCGGGAGACAGAGGCAGGTGGATCTGAATTTGAGGCCAGCCTGGTCTACAGAGCGAGTTCTAAGACAGCCAGGGCTACACAGAGAAACCCTGTCTTGAAAAAACAAACAGCAAAACAAAAAGTAAGTATTTATAATGCAGTAAAGAATTACACTGGTTTAGGAAAGTGACAGCAGTAGCTCTGCTGTAATCTATAATCTCATTAGGTATGGTCACAATACCAGGCCTGATTCCCTCCTGTTAAGTGAGTCTTCAGTCCAGTTAGATGGCTTGTGGTTACCACCAAGGAATGAGTGCCACAACTGTGCCTTAGCTTGCCATGCTGGGCATCACAGTGGTTCGTAAGCTTCATAGCTGGGGAGGACCACTACCTGTTTTCCTCCTGTAGCAGATCACATATCACCTTGTACTGTAGTACCTAGTCCTCAGCTGGGTCAATTCCAGCTCAAACCCTTTGAGTTCTATATCCACAATACATGGTTTCTTCAGCAGTAGAGATTTACTTCCAGCTTTTTGAGGTAATCAAGGTCAACAATAGTAGCCTGTGTTGCGTCGGGAGTCTAGTGGACTCTTGACCAACAACTCGGGTTTATCATGCCTGCACTGGGGTTTTTGTTAGCTATGGTTCTTGTGGGGAGTATTAATCACTGCAAGTGGTGCAACTTCATTTAAAACACATAATGTATGTATAGACATATACTTACATGTATTATATGTAATTTTAGATAAATATAAAATAATAATTGCCTGTCTTTTTTCAAACATGCTAGTGTTATTTTCCCCTCCTTCTTCTTGCTGCTTCTATATTATCCTCCCTTTCTTCTCCTGAGTTAAAGATCCTTATTTTTCTCATTTTTCCTGTATCTCACCTGCATCCTGAGCTTTCTGAGCTGGGGATCCAAAATTCAAAGTATAAGTACAGATGAATTTTTAAAATACTTTTAAAAAGCAGTACAAATGTTAAATAAATCCAAGTAACTATATGATGATACTTTCAAAATGAATGATTATATGTGTTCCTTGGGTGAGGTTATAGTGTTTTTACTGCTTTTGTTCATAGGATATTCTGAATAATCTTGAATCATGTGACCTTGAGGATGATGATCTTATGCTGGATGTGGATTTGCCGGAGGATGCACCTCTTGAAAATGGTAAGTTAGGATTACAAAGTTGGCAGATGTATGTGTGTAAATGGCTGGGTTGTAACCAGCTTGATAACTGTTAGGTCAAGACTAGGAATCAGTCTCTGCTGGTGTAAGACAGGTTTACTTATTACATGTTTAAAACCTGATTATGTAGGTCTTAAATATAATTCTGTATGATTCAGCAACATTATATACCTTTATCTAAACGTGGTGTGTGTGTGTGTGTGTGTGTGTGTGTGTGTGTGTGTGTGTTTGAATGCCTAGTTTTTCCTCACTTTGCTTCATTTTGAATCTCAAAAGAAATCTATTTAGAGAAGCATTTGTTTTGTAAATCGTTGTAATGTATTAATTTGATCCCTATTTTAAGGTCAGTTCCAGGAAAGTAATCACCTTCTGAATGAAGGTGACTCCTAATTTTAGTCTGTCTTTCTTTCTGTGTCTCAGTAACCAGCAAGGTAGTGTTTTAGACAGTCTATATGCAAAAGGACTCTTGTCCCCAGTGGTATGGCACATACAGGGTTTCTATATTAGGAATTAGTAAGAGAGCCAGAGACACCCTTGGGATCAGGGTGAACTGGGAGTCCTGCTGTTCTGGAAATAATGGCTCCAGAGATCTGAGGATTCCCTGTCAATACACATTTCTGTGGTGTCCCAGGCTTCACCAAAGCCAGGGAGAAAGTACGAAGAAAGAGTGATTTTCTTTTTATGCATGGTGCTAGAACAGTTGGAGGATTTTTCAAAAACTGAGTATATTTTCTAAATGGGCTTTCTTCTTACCACCACAGCAGTCATATTGCCATTGGTTGGACTATGTTTTGTTTTGTTTTAATTCCCCCCAAAAGTGCTCTGTTAACAGTCTGCAGAATGAACATGTATTTATTTCCCTGATTCATGAATACTGAATTGCCTTGCATGGCATAGTCTATGAGACTGTGTAGATTCCTGAGGAATTCAATATTTTAGGATCTACACTACTTTGGACTGGTTATTCTTATGATAAATCTCAGCAGTATTAAAAGGGGAGCGGAAATTCACATTTTAGGCTTAGAATCACAACACTGATTTTAACCATGTTCTGCTGATGATAGCAAGTGTTTTGACCTAGCCTAACTGACTGTAACCACTCACAGCAAACAGTCTGTGGCCATGATTGAACTTGGATTTATAAATTTGTTAAGTGAAGCACAGAGGGTATTGTTCATTGTTATTGTCGGAGTAGAGACTGTTAGAGTTTCCTGTGGTGCTTCTGGCACTTGGGATACTTCTGCAACCAGAATGGAATTCCAATCCTGAGAAGAAAAATTATAGCCAACACCAGGAGGAATAGAGAGCTGAACTGCCAGCCTTAGGGTAGTGCAGTGAGATTGTAAGGAGGGTGCTTAGGGAACCACTACTTTCTAGAGCTAGAAACAGGATTCCCCATAACAGTATAGCAGTTCAATGGGTGGTGGAAGTCATAGTTGCTATTGAGAAGTCTGAATTAATGATCTGGGAGACCAAGTTCAACACTCTGCTGGCACACAGAGGGAAAGAAAATAAAATGTAAACCATTGAAAGTGACTGAGCAGTAGTAACAAGACCTTATGGTACAGGAAATGTGACATGTTTATTGCTTTTTATTCTGTTTTTCAAGACTGGTAGGGAAGGATGAGGGGTTTTCCTCCTTGGGATAAGTCACAGCAAAGGTAGTGCAACTACAACTTCTCTTTGGAAATGTTATTCCCTTTTTGAGCTGATAGAGGAAGCACAGATCAAACCAGGCTTAGCTACTCTCACCTCATTTCTAGAGCACAGCTTAGCTACTCTCATGTTAGACAGATGTTGAATCGCAGAGAAGTTGCAGGTCTTTGGGGTCTTTGTTGCATTCTCAGGAGAAATAGTCAGGAATTCCATTACTATTGCACATAGGGCACAGATGTTTTCCTAGGAGAAAACAAACAAATATTGGCTATTTGAACTAGAAGAACACAAAAGAAAGCAGAGTATGGGCCTAAACTTAATTCTCTCTGTAGGCACCTAAATAAAGTAGTACTTATTACTACTTTAGAAAGGTAGAAAATATTTTTAGATCTTTTTGGCTGGGGATAAGAATGTGGAAGTGCTGGTGGGTTAGGGATCTTTTAACATGCTGATGACTGTTGGCTTTAGTGCTTATTAGCTGTTTTCCATTTGAAGTAGTTTTACAAGTTTAAGAAGAGGTTGTATTGGTTCACTGAGCCCTCAGGTATTTCAGCTTCACTAATTCTGCCAGTATTATTGGTGCTTGTGCCCAAGAAGATGGACAAATCATTGAGCCCTTCCATTTGGATTTGATCTGGGTACAGTTTACTATGACCTCATTAAGAATAGGTAGTCCTTTGTTTAAAAAAAATTATTGTGTAGTGTGTGCATGTATGTGGAGGTGTACTTTCTTTTCTGTGTGTATCAATGTTGAGGCTAGAGGTTGATAATGGGTGTATTGCTCTATTGTTCATCTCCTTATTGTGTGAGACAGATCTGATGTTCCTCATTTTGCTGGACTGGCTGGGTGGTCATTGAACACCAGGATCTTCTAGTCTCCACCCTCCTTGTGCTGGGGGGTTATAAGCACCCATTGCCAAGCCCTTTGTTTTTGTATGGGTATGTGAGGGTTCTGAACTGTGCACGTCTTGCTTACAGAGTAATAATTTTTCCCACTGAGCCATCTCTCTAGTCCCTTTCTTGATGATTTTAAAGAAGTTGTAAAGAAAGTGCTAACCTGATAATTGCATTAGTGTGCAGGTCTTTTTGTCTGTGCTATGCAGGGGAGGAAAGAATGTGTATTAGTCTAATGCTTGCTGAGCACTTACAGTCTAGGATTTGGGGATGTTCAATTCTGAGTGTTTTGGTGACCCTTGGATGGGTATGCAACAGTAATGACGTTTAGGATAGTGTTAAAGTTTATGTATATTAATGGAACATTGGATCGCTTATTGGTAGATAAGTAAAACATTTGCTACTTACAGCTGTAAGCGCTATAATATTTGTAAAGGAGACTGAGAAGGGGCAAGGGCATTATTAGGTGATGCAGGACAGAATGCAGGTCAAAGGACACATGAGTAATTTTTTAAGTATAATTCATTTTTTCTGTCCATTTTTTTATTTAACTTAGAAACAAGATTTTACATGTCAATCCCAGTTCCCTCTGCTTCCCCTCCTCCCCCCCAACTAACACCCTACCTATCCTGTACCCTTTCTGCTCCCCAGGGAGGGTGAGGCCTTCTACAGAGGGTCTTCAGAGTCTGTCATATCATTTGGTGGCCCAGGGCCACCCCCTTGTGTCTAGGTTCAGGGAGTATCCCTCTATGTGGAATGGGCTCCCAAAGTATATTCCTATGCTAGGAATAAGTACTGATCTACAAGAGGCCCCATAGATTTCCAAGGTCTCCTCACTGACACCCACATTCATGGGTGTTATTGTTTTGTTTAAAAAGAAGAAAAGAGAAATGCTGAGACATGAGACATGTTGACTATGATTATATCAGGAGGCCCAGGAGAGGGGGGAGACTAAGAAGAGGAACAGGGTAATGGCTGACCACCATGGTCAGTCACCATAGACAGGCAGAGAGAGAGCATAGGTGGGAGACAGGTAGAGAGAAAGCAGAGACAAAGCAGAGCGGGGAAACAGAGAGAG